GAAGGAGGATTAGGAAGAGGAGGAGAGGAAGAAGGAGAAGGAGAAAGCTCCAAGTTCTCATTCCACTACAGAAACATCGTAAGTAAACAAGAAGCTGTCTGGGCCAAACTTACAGGAGCTCTGGAAAACACTCAAATGTTTATAGCAATCAAGCAAATATCCCATCAATAAAAAGCCATCTTTAAAATGATAGAAAAGATGAGTGTTTTACTCATCTTTGCCTGAAGTCTTCCCTGATGGATCATTAAACTTACTTATGAACAGGTGGTAGCCCACTTTCTAGTTGCCTCCCTTCAATGAGAGACAGCACAGCAGTACTTATTTGCAAGTTATTGGGTTTGCTGTTCTAACCTGCCTAGGCAATAATGAAAGGACTGAAGCAAGGTGCTTCTCTCTTTCACGTAAATCACCAAAGAGATTGGAAACGTGGTAGGCACTGGTTCACAAAACTACAAAGTAAACTAGAAACCCCCAGACACCTGGGGCAAAAGATTATGCATGAAGTCATACAAAAGACCATCTGAGACCTGAAAGAGAAGCTGGAGTAAGATGATTTTTATTATTATGTATTTATTTTGAGGGACAGAGTGCACATATGCAAGTGGGGGGGGGCAGAGAGGGAGAGACAAAGAGAGAGAGAGAGAGAGAGAGAGAGAATCCAAAGCAGGATCCATGCTGTTAGCACAGATCCCTACATGGGGCTCGAACCCACAAACCATGGGATTATGACTTGAGCTGAAACCAAGAGTTGGCCACTTAACCAACTGAGCCACTAAAGCCCCCCCACCACAACTTCTTTCTCTCTTTCTTTCTTTCTTTCTTTCTTTCTTTCTTTCTTTCTTTCTTTCTTTCTTTCTTTCTTTCTTTCTTTCTTTCTTTCTGGAAAGACATCAAAAAACTCTTCCTCATATGGGAGAATTTAGAAAGCCAAGTGCATACCCAGGCAAGATGCGCTCAAAAATGTCCTGAGAAGACCTTAAGCTATCATGGGTTGATCCCTAGGCACAGAACAAGCCAAGCCCAGCTAAGTGAGAAAGAAGCGCCGCAACACAGAGCCAATCTGGTAATACTGGGAGAGGTGTCTGTTCTCTTTCTCTCTTATTAAATTTTTTTTGTTTCTTTGTTCATTTCAGCTCCCAGCATTTAAGGAAACCTCTGTCAAAACATTAGTAAAATATGAGCTATAAAAACAGAGACTTGAGTGATCACACTTGACAAGGAATAGTTTTTGAAAGAAAAATTTGGGGAAGTCTCAAAGCAAAAAGTCTACTATAGCATTTAACGATTAAAATGCAAAACCATCAAACTACAGGGAAAGGGGTATAACCTGATTTTTAGAGTTAACACGTAATAGCTAAATACCCAATGTTCAAAACAATGGCAAAGCATACAAAGAAACAGGAAAACATGGCTCATTCAAAAGAACAAAATTAACTGGTAGAAATTGACTCTGGGAAAGCTTGGACATTACACTTAACGTACAAAGACTTTAAAATAAGAGCTGCGGGAAAACGTGGACAAAGAAGGAAAGGAAATCAGGAAAATGATATATGAACAAAATGAGAATACCAATGCAAGGACAGAAATTACAAAAAGGAACCAAACAAATTCTAGAGCTGAAAAATACAATAACTAAAATGAAAAAAAAATCACCAGAGAGTTTGAACAGATTTAATTAGAATTAGCAAAGTTACCTGAAAATAGGACAATGTAATTTATCATCTGAGGAACAGAAAGAAAAATTTTTGTAAAAAGAAAAGTAGGGGTGCTTGGTGGCTCATTTGGTTAGGTGTCCAACTTCAGCTCAGGTCATGATCTCATGGTCGGTGAGTTCAGGCCCTGCATTGGGCTCTTCATTGTCAGTGAAGAGACTACTTCAGATCCTCTCTCCTCTCTCCCCTCCCCAGACTGCTCGCTCGCTCTCGCTCGCTCTCTCTGTCTCCCCCCCACCCTCCTTCCCTCAAAAATAAATAAACATTTAAAAATTTTTTAGAAAACTAAATGGAGCCTAAGGGACATATGAGAAACCAGTAAGTATACAATACTGGAGACCCAGAAATGGAAGACAAATATAAATGGATAAAAATAACACTTGAAAAAATGTCAGCAGGAACCAGTGCAGGGCTAACATTTGCTACATAACTTTCTAACACTGCTACCACCCCTCAATTCTCTGAGCATGTTGTGGATCTGGCTCCTCCAGTATGCTCTTGGCCACAGCTCACTCAGGGTGGTGCCACAGGCCTGATAGTGTGCAAGTAGCCCCAACAGGGGCAGCACCACTCCAGGATAACTCCTGTCCCAGGGAGAGAGAAAGATAACCACATATACCCATACACCAGGCCAACTGTGGCCCCAGAAGTGGGATGGGGACAGACAGATGGTCTGATTGCAGGCCCTGCCCACCAAAGAAAATTTCTCAGGGACAAAACAGGGAATACACCTTGCAGTTTTGTGCTACTGGATCTCTTGCAAACACCTGGTCTGACTCAGCTCAAGCTCAAGTGGCCCCAGGCTGGCCCAGTAACACTACAGGGACAAAACACTGCCCACAACAGGCAAAAAGAGCTACTGCAGACAAATGGACTGAAATAAAAAAATGGCTCAGCCACAAAAGCAGAGCATACACAACACACATAGGAGACACGCCTGAAATGCCAGGTTCCAGTGAACAGGGGACACTGCACTGGAGGGCAATACAGGATCTCTTATTCATAAGGCCATTGTTTTCATGCAAGAGATGTAACTGACCTTCCAAACACAGAGAAACAAACACAGAGAGTTAGACAAAATGAAAAGACAGAGGAACATGTCCCAAATGAAAGAACAGGACAAAATCACATTAAGAGACCTAAATGAAACAGAGATAGGTAATGTGCCTGATCGAGAATTTAAAGCAATATTCATAAAGATACTCACTGAAGTTGAGAAAAGAATGTAAGATATCAGTGAGATTCTTAAAACAGAGATTAAAAAAAAAAGAATCAATCAGAGAAAAGTAACACAGTAAATGAAATTTAAAACACACTAGATGAAATAAATAGGCTAGAGGAAGCGGAGAAATGACTCAGCAACCTCAAGGACAGAGTAATGGAAAGTAATGAAGCTGAGCAGATGAGAGGAAGAAAATTATGCAAAATGAGAAGAGACTTAGGGAATTCAGTGACACCATCAAGCATAATAACATTTGCAGAAGAAGGAGAGAAAACTTTCCAAATGTGGGGAAAGAAATAGACATCCAGATTCAGGAGGGAAAGAGATCACCCCATAAAATCAACCTAAGGAGGTTCACACCAAGATGCATAGTAATTAAAATGGCAAAAAAAAAAAGTAGAGAAATAGAGACACAGCAAGAGAAAGGAATGCAGTAACATTTAAGGGAAATCCCATTATGCAATTAAGCTCATTTCGTCAGCAGAAACTTTGCAGGCCAGAAGGAAGAGGCATGATATATTCAAAGTGCTGAAAAGAGAAAGTGTGCAGCTAAGGATACTCTATACAGCAAGGCTACCTTTCAGAATAGAAGGAGAAATAAAGAGTTTCTTCCCCCCATAAAAACAAAATTTAAAGGAATTCATGCCCACGAAACCAACCCTACAAGAAATGTTAAAGAGGATTCTTTGAGTGGAAAGGAAAGGGAAGAAAGAAACAGAGAATTATAAAAATAACCATACAAAAAGTAACAAAATGGCACTAAGTACATATCTATCAATAATGACTTGGAATATATATGGACTAAATGCTCCAATCAAAAGACACATGGTGACAGAATAAAAAACAAACAAACAGTGGTGCCTGAGTGGCTCAGTCAGTGAAGAGTCCAACTTTGGCTCAGGTCATGATCTCATAGGTTCATGGGTTCAAGCCCTGCATCAGGCTCTGTGTTGAGAGCTTCAGATCTTCTGTATCCCTCTCTCTCTGATCCTTCCCCACTCATACACTCTCTCTCCTTCTAAAAAATAAATAAACTTAAAAAAAAAAAACAACTAGGGACACCTGGGTGGCTCAGTTGTTTTAACATCTGACTCTTGATTTCAGCTAGGTCATGATTTCACATTCATGACTTCAAGTCCCACATTGGTATCTGCATTGACAGTGCCAAACACGCTTGGAATTCTCTCTCTCCCTCTCCCTCTGTCCCTCCCCCATGACTCCTCTCTCCTCTCTCTCTAAATAAATAAATAAATTTTAAAAAAGCAATACCCATCTATATGTTGCCTCCCAGGGACTCGCTTCAGACCTAATAAAGGGATGAACTAATAAGAAGATGGTGGTGGGGTAGAAGGACCCTAGGCTCACCTTACCCCATGAATACAACTAGGTAACTATCAAATCATCCTCAATGCCCTAGAAATGGACATGAAGACTGTAAGAACAAAATCCACAACTAGAGAGAGAGAAATGGGTATGTTGAAGAGAGTAGGAAATGTAGAGACATGGTTTAGGGGAGATACAGATTCTGGCTGCTGTGGAAGGGAGGGAGCTGTGGCTGTGGAGAAGGGTGCACGAGAGAGAAACACAGAGGTGAACTCAGAAAACAGAATGTTTCCCCATATCCAATGGCTTGGAAATTTTGAGGGGCTAAATATCATGAGTTCTTACAACCAGTGGAGCTTAAAGCCTGGTGTTTTAAAAGTCAGTGGGTTTGGCTGCAGAGGCTGGGGGACACTGTATTGCTCTTGCAAAGAAGGCAGGAAAATAACCTGGCAGCATAAAGCATGAAAACAGTGATATGAAGAGTGCCTGAGACACACAGTGGGCAGATTATTTGCTCTTCTTGGAGCATATTCCTGAAAAACAGCATTCACATATACATGGCTCTGAGAACAAAGGAGATGGCTGGTGCCATTTCCCTCCCCTTCCCCTCAGCATAAACACAGAGCCACCTGTAAGAAGGAGCACACTGCAGACAGTGGGTGCCTAACTTGCTTACACGAAGACCTACTCCCCTGTGCTTTGGTGGAATCACCATTAGCAGTCACACTTATCTCAGTCTGATCATGGCAGGCCTCTCCTCCATAAGACCAGCACAAACCCCTGCCCACACCACGTCTCCTGACCAGAGACTTTTGCAGCCTCTGAGTTCCAGTGGAGGTAGTGACAGATCTCATTCACAAGCAGAACAGAGCACATCTAGTTAAAATTCACCACATTCAGGCCAGGGACCAAACATTGCCCACAGTGGGCAAGGTGAGGGTCTGCAGACAACTAGCCTGAACGACAGAGTAGCCAGAACAGAAAAGTAGAGTGCCTGCAGCACACACTGATGACACTCCATAAAGCATTAGGCCCTAGGTAATACATGAATTTTTTATAAGGTCATTACTTTCAATAGAAGGAGATATAACTGTCTTTTCTAAATAAGAAGCAGGGGCACCCTGGCTGGCTCAGTTGGATAACTGTCTGACCCTTGATTTTCATTTAGGTCATGGCCTCACAATTTATGAGTTTGAACCCCACATTGGGCTCTTCACTGGCAGTGAAGCATCTGCTTGGGATTCTGGGATTGATTTTCAAAAACATGATCCAAATTCTATGATGCCTACAGGAGATGCACTTTAGATTCAAAGATACAAGAAGATTGAAAGCCGGGGAAAGCTATATCAAGCAAACAGTAACAAAAAAACAAAACAAAACAAAATATATATATATATATAGTGGCTTTATTTATATCAGATTAAATAGACTTTAAAGCAAAAATGTTACTAGAACTAAAGAATGATGTTTTCTATTATAAAAATTATGTTATAAATTATAAGCATATATTCACCTAACAACAGAGCCCACATATACATGAAGCAAAGGCTGACATAATTGAGGGTAGAAATAAATAATTCAACAATGGACAAAGACTTGAATACTCCACTATCAATACGGTATAAAACAACTATGTAGAAGATCAACAGGGAAATTGAAGACTTGAAGAGCAGTCTATACAAACTATATCTAAGAGAATTCTACAGAAAATTCCATCCAACAACATCAGAATAAGCTCTTTTCAAGTACACATAGACTATCCTCTAGGTTAATCATATGCTGGTCTGTAAACCAAGTCTCAATCAATTTAAAAGGAATGAACTCATAAAAGGATGCTCCTCTTTAATGGAAATTGGAAAGTAATAACAGAAATAAATTTGGGAAATGCAAAAAAAGTGTAAAAGGTAAACAATATACTACTGGGTAACAGAAGAAATATGAAGAAAAATAAGAAAGCAGTCTGAAGTAAATAAAAATATACCATAACATATCAAAACTTATGGAAGACAAGTATTTACAGGGAAATTTATAGCTATAAGTTCTTAGATTTAAAAAAGGAACATGATCTTAAATCAATAAACTAAACTTCCACCTTAAGATAGTGAAGGGAAAAAAAGAGAGCAAACAAGCAGTCAGAAGGAAAGAAATTACAAAGATTAGATATTGATAAACAAGAAAATGAAAAAAGAATAAATATCAATGAAACCAAAAGCTAGCCCTTTGAAAAGATCACTAACATTGACAAACGTTTAACTAACATGACCAAGAAAAAGGAGAGAAACTAATCATATTACTAAAATCAGAAATGAAATGAAGAAATAAAAATTGAAAAAGAATGATATGCTATACTATGAACAACTCTAGGCCAACAAAATAGGTAATGCAGATGAAATGGGAAAATTCCTAGAAAGACACAACCTATCTAAAGTTAAGGATAAATATAGGGGTGCCTGGGTGGCTCAGTCGGTTGAGAGTTCGACTTCGGCTCAGGTCATGATCTCACGCTCTGTGGGTTCGAGCCCTGTGTCGGACTCTGTGCTGACAGCTCAGAGCCTGGAGCCTGTTTCAGATACTGTTCCTCCTTCTCCCTCTGACTCTCCCCTGCTCACGCTGTCTCTCTGCCTCAGAAATAAATAAAACATTAAAAAAATGTAAAAAAAAAAAAAAAGAATAAATATAAAATCTGAATAAACTTATAACAAATGAAGGTATTGGGGCGCCTGTGTGGCTGGGTCAGTTGAACGTCTGACTTCAGTGCAGATCATGATCTCACGGTTCTTGAGTTTGGGCCCCACGTGAGGCTCTGTGCTGACAGTTCAGAGCCTGGAGCCTGCTTCATATTCTGCATCTCCCTCTTTCTCTGCCCCTCCCCAACTCACACACTGTCTCTCTCTCAAAAATAAACATTTTAAAAAATGCAGATATTGGATTAGTAATAATAATTTTTTTAAACCACCCACAAGAAAAGCCCAGAACCAGATAGTCATTCAAAGAAGAATTAAAAGAGCCTACAGGGAAGGGGCCAAGTTTGAGTCACCTTTAAGGGGTCAGGAAGGAAGTGTTTGGCCATGGAAACCATGGTGTAAATTGGTTCAAGATTCTGCCTGAGATTCGTATCATGGCCATGTGTTTGGTCATCCCCCACATAGTCACTGTGCACATCTACAGGTTTAGTAATGTGGGCAAAGAAAAAATGGTTGCCTATTATTCATATTCTTGGAGTTTGATGCAAAGAGATAGGCATGTCTCTGGAGTTAACTGTTACTATGTGTCAAAGGGTTTGGAGGGTATCAATTAAAGAAGACTTTTCCTGGTAGATGAAAAATAATGTGGTTATGCTCATCTACTCTTTCTAGAAGGTTATGCAGTATATCAATGTAGTACATAATGAAAACAAAAAAATTTTTTAAAATAATAATTAATACAAATTATTCACAGACCTGTTCCAAAACATAAAGGATGGAACACTTCTTGACTCACTCTATGAGGCCGTTGATACCAAAATCAGACAAGGACATGACAAAGAAAAAGCCCTACAAACAACTGTCTCTTATGACTACAGACACAAAAATGCTCAAGAAAATACTAGTACATTGAATCCAGCAATGTTTTTTTTTTTTAATGTTTTTGAGAGAGAGAGAGAGACAGAGCATGAGTAGAGGAGGGGCAGAAAGAGAGGGAGACACAGAATCCAAAGCAGGCCCCTGACAGAGCACAGAGCCTGACATGGGGCTCAAACCCACCAACCGTGAGATCATTACCTGAGCTGAAGCCGGACGCTTAACTGACTGAGCCACCCAGGTGCCCCCAGCAATCTTTAAGAAGGATCATGCATCATGACTAATGGTGATTTATCCTGGTAATGCAACGTTGTTTTCTCATAGCTTTGGGTGTCTGGGTGGCTCAGTCAGTTGAGTGACCAAGTCTTGATTTCAGCTCAAGTCATGATCCCAGGGTCATGGGATCAAGTCCCACCTCGAGTTCCACACTGAGCATGGAACCCGCTTGGGATTCCCTCCTCCCTCTGCACAGCTCCCCTACTCATTCTCTCTCTCTCTCTTACTCTAAAAAAAAAAAGAGAGAGAGAGAGAGAAAAAGACAAAAACTTTATAATCTTTTTTAATGATCAACTTGAGAGACATTTTTCTCTTTTCATTTGGGATATTGGAGGTCCAAACAATAGCATAGAGATGTAAACATGATTACATGCTGAGGTCTTCCCCAAAAGGGAGTATCAATTTAAGATGCATTAATGCATTAAAATGGTTTGTAAGTTGAGAAAAAGGAGGAGAAGGGGTAAATTTACATAATCAGTGAAAGTTAAACAAGGTCCTGGAGGTGGAGAGGGGTAGGGGAAGAGTAGGAGATCAGTAAAAAAGTAGAATAGGTTTTTGTGGATATACAAATGAGGTAGTTCTAAGTTTCTCATATTTTTAATTTGTTTTAGCTAAGGAGTTATTTAGTGAGGCAATTTTAAAGTCCAATTTCAAGTTAGAAGACTCCTCATACCAATTAAAGAAAGCATGGCATTGGATAGGTCTTATCACATATCTTGCATTCATAGATTTTCTCAATATGAATCCTCTGAAGTTGAGTAATTTGATAGCCACTACTTAAGGTCTCTCCACAATATTTTATATTTCTTTGGCTTTCACAGTATGAATTCTCTTTTTCACATTAGAGTGTCTTCCTTAACTACAGTGTTTTTCAAATTCCCTACATTCATAATAATTCTTCTCAATATAAATTCACCAACATATATTAAGGTTTGGATTATATCTAAAAGCTTTCTCACATTTCTTGCATTCAAAGAACTTTTTACTCATATTAATACTCTATTCTTAAATAACTTGCTTTTGTATAATAATGATTTTCCCACTTTATTACATTCATAGGGTTATTTTTTTCACCAATATTAAAAATCTGATGTTGAGTAAGTTATCCAAACAGTAAAAACCTTATTAAATTTCTTGAATTCATAAATGGTTTTCATCAGTATGAATTCTCTATTTATAATAAAAACTAAATTAAGTCTAAATATGTTTCCACGTTTCTTACACTGACCAATTATCTCACAGTAAGAATTCTCTGAATTGAGTAACTTGTCTATACACTATAAAAGCTTTCCCACATTCCTTACATTCATAAAGATTGTCATCAGTATGAATTCTCTGACTGGAATAAAAAACTGAACTACGTCTAAAGACCTTCCCACATTATTACTATTCCTGTGATTTCTCACCTGTATACATTCTCTGATGTTGAGTAACTTATCCACACACAGTAAAGGCTTTCCTCATTCCTTGCATTCATAAAATGTATCACCAGTATGAGTTCTCTGGTATGAAAAAAGAAATCAGTCAGGTCTAAAGACCTTCCCACATTCTTTATATTCCTATTATTTATCATCTTTAAGACTTCTCTCATTGGATAAATTGTCCATATACAGTGACAGCTTTATTTTGTGTCTCTTATTCATAAAAAAATCTCACCAGTATGAATTCTCTAATATTTAGCAAGTACTGAATTAAATCAAAACATCATTCCACATACCTTATGTTCATCAGGCTTCTCATTAGTATAAATTCGGGATGTTAAGCAACTTGTCCACACACAGTAAAGGCTTTCCTACACAGTTATTATTCATAAACCTTATCAGCAGTTTGAATTTGCTGGTTTGCAAAAAGAACTCAGCTCTAGAATAGTTACTTATATGGTGGGATTATAGGTGACCTATAGAATGTCATTTTTTATTTTCCTCCATTTCTACTATTTTTTTAAGTATTGAATAGGTGTCACTCATGAAATAAAATAATAAAAAGTTTGAAAATTTTAGTCTTCTGATTGCCAAGATGGCAGAGATATAAGGAGCTCTGTACTTCCCTCCCGCCCACATCTCTCAAACAAAGAAGGGCTGAAGCCAAAGGACACTGAACCGCTAGCGTCTGAGAGGAAAAGAGACAGAGTCCTCTAAGAAAATAGCCTCATAGGTGTGTGATTGTAAACTGGGGAAGATAAAAATGGGCCAGGACCCAGAGGCACAGAGGGGAGGAACCCCCCTACATAGAGAGAAAAGGGGAAGAGAAAGAGCGGCTGAAACTGCTCATAGAACTGTCCCTGCATTAGAGAAAAAACTCGGCCCAGGACGGAGAGAGATCCTATCATCCCATCTCTATTGCAGGACGTTCAGAGAGAAATCCTATCTCTAGCTGCAATGCTTTCTTTGGGCTGGGTGCCCCAGTCCCAGACAGCACGATGAGGAACTGCTCCCCAACTCCCTCTACTAGATCCCTGGTGAGGAAGCAGCCAGGCCTGCAGGATTACATTTTGGATAGTATCATTAAAGCGCACAGACTAAGATCTGAAAATGACCCAGGGTTTGGGACACAGAACATGGCCCACCTTGGCTGTGCCCATGGCACAGGGAGATCGGACCCAAAAGAGTGATTTGCAAAGCTTAGTTGGAGAGGGGACTGGGGTGCCGCCATTTTTGTCCCCGCAACCACCAAAGCAGGGCCTCAGGGAGCAGCCAAAGGGATCCACAGTGGAGGGGAGGCCTACCTACAACAAACCATGCCCATCCATGCTGGAGAGCTGCTTTTTTCTTTTTTCTTTTTCTTTTTTTTTTTTTTTACCGGAGCCCAGGGCAAGACCAACACTGATGCATTGTCGTGATTAACTCCAGATCAATTCTTGCTATTCAGATATATTTTCCCTTATCTCATTCTTAGCTCTCCCCTCCGCTGGACTGGGCACTCTGGTTATTGGTTTGCTTAAACATTCACATTTAATCCATTCTCTTGATGCATATTCTACATCTCCGTCATTACCTTCTTTTCTCTCTCTCTCTCTGGAATAATAAGATTATATAATTTCTCTGGGTAACATTATCTTCGTTTCTTTCTCCTTGCCTCTGACCATATTCTCCTTTTTCTCTCTCTGAATTAAGCCTTTTAGTCTCTCTGCCTAGACAATGTCCAATTTCACTTTCTTTCTCACCACCCTTGTAATTTCTGTTTGTATATGCTCTTTCTTCAGCATTGCCTCCACCCTGCTCTTTATTTGTAGCTGGGATTTCTGGTTTTATGCTTTTAGACTGCCCTTTGTCTTTTGCGGTTTTTCTTTTGTTTTCTTTTTCCTTTTGGTTTGTTTGATTTGTCTGTGCATTTGTGTGCTTTTGTTCCCTGTTTGTTTTTCTATTTTCCTTTGCAGGGCTACCTCAAGAAATAAGCTAAAGTACAGATGGTGGAGAGTTCCAAATATCGTACGAGTAGGGAAATAAAATAACCAAAGGCAAAAGACAGACCAAGGGACACCATTAAAAGAACACTTCCTAAAGAGAAAGGCCGTGGACAGTCAATGAGCCTCCTTGAATATAGCAGAACTTGCAGGTGCAGAGTGCATAACAAGCTTTTAAAACCTACATGAGACAGAAAGCTAGCCAAAATGATGTAACAGAAGAATTCTCTTCTTAGGAAATTCCAGGAAGAAATGACAGCTAAAAAATTCCTCAAAACAGATATAAGCAACATAACTCACCAAGAATTTAGAGCAGAATTTGGAACAATGGTCATGAAATTAATCGCTGGGCTTGAACAAGGCATGGAAGACATCAGAGAAGTTACTGCTACAAAGATATGGACCTTAAAAATAGGTGTGATGATCGGGGCGCCCGGGTGGCTTAGTCGGTTAAGCGTCCGACTTTCGCTCAGGTCATGATCTTGCGGTTCGTGGGTTCGAGCCCCGCGTCGGGCTCTGTGCTGACTGCCAGCTCAGAGCCTGGAGCCTGTTTCAGAGTCTGTGACTGTCTCTCTCTCTCTGACCCTCCCCTGCTCACGCTGTCTCTCTCTCTCTCTCTCTTTTCTAGAAATAAATAAAAAAAACATTTAAAAATTTTAAAAAAAGATAGGTGTGATGAATTTAAAAATGCTATAAATGAGGTGCATAATAAAATGGAGGCGGCCACTGCACGGATTGAAGAGGCAGAGAGGAGAATAGGTGAATTAGAAGACACAATTATAGAAAAAGAGGAAGCCAAGAAAAAGAGATATAAATTGATCCAGGAGCGTGAAAGGAGAATTCGAAAACTGAGTGATGGAATCAAACGGAACAATACCCGTACCATAGGAATTCCAAAAGAAGAAGAGAGAACAAAAGGGGCTGAAGGGGTACTTGAACAAATTATAGCTGAGAACTTCCCCAAACTGGGGAAGAAAACAGACACTGAAATCCAAGAGGCACAGAAAACTCTCCTCAAACATAACCTGAATCTATCTTCTGCACGACATATCACAATGA